AAAAAAAAAAAAAAAAAGCAAAAGGCACGAAATGTGCAACATATGACAAAGGACCAGCGGCCATGACTATGGTTGCCATTTTCTTGTTCCAGTTCATTTGATGACAAACTCTCAAAAATCATTCAGATCACTAAACAACTCACAGTAAGTGCTAATGTTCTGTGATGCACTATGGTGAAAGGTTTCTGGAAAGAATAAAGGCAGTGCCACAGGTCCAAAGTTGTTACCCATAGAGAAGAGGGTAACACACCATCTTTTACCTCTTGAGCAACGACCACACCTGCTTTCTCAGTGAGAAATGCCATGAACCCAAGACGTGAACCCAAGACATCCTGCCCTGAGCCCACTGCCCCATTGCTCTCCTCCAGCACAGCTAGGCAGAGGCTGGCTTCTCAGACATCAGAACCACTTTCCCTGGGGCTAGCCCTCTCCCACATACCCCCAATCTTCACTTATCCCTCTTGAGGCCTGCAAGCTTTCCTAGGAGGAAAGGAAGACAGGGTTGATCCCAAAGAAATCTAGAATCCAGAATTTAGAGAATTTCTAAAGCATTTGTTTAAAACAGTATGAGGGTCTAAGTGGACTGTCTGGATTTAAATCCTGGCTGGAACACTTACTAGCTGTGTGGCCTAGCCAAGTTTCTTAAACTCTCAGAGCTGTGCTGCAGTTTCCTTCTCTATGAAGTATGGTTAATAACCACTGACCTTCCATAGGTACTATGAGGTTACTGTGAGGATCAAATTAGCTGATTCATTTAAAAAAGCATTCAGAACAAGGCAAAAATACCAAGAGTGAATGGATACGAATGGACAATTCACAGATGAAGAAACATTGTACAAATCTAACAACGTATGTAAAAAAAATTTACCCTCACAAGGAAACAACAAAATGCAAAATAAAACCATGTAATGCCTTTAATAGGTAACTTTATGCTTACGTTGGTAAAGATTTCAAATATCCAAATCCAGTCTCGCAAGGACATAAAGAAAACGGCACTCTCACACACTGTTGATGGAAGTAAGAGTTGAATTCAAAGTTATCAAAGGCCTAGCTTCTCCACTTCGAGGAAATTACTGTAACAAAATATTAGGAAAACTGCACAAAGACATGTGTTAAGGATGTTTGTTGGGCTACTGGCAAGAGTATAAAACTGGACACAGGTGTCCATAGACACCTCAACCCACTGCTCCTGAGACCCAGTAAAATAAGAGTACATTTGCACAAAAGGGAAAATCCTCAACAGTGGCAAGAATGAGAAGAGAGAGGGTTCAAAGACTCCTGGGAGAGGGGCAGGCAGGAGGGAGTAGCTCCAGATTCCACAGGCAAGAAGCCCACAGCATACTAACCTAATAACATCCTGCCTGTGCTGCCCAGGAGAGCCCAGGGCAGGGCTCCAGGCTCGGGGGTCACAGTACAGTGGAGCCCAAAGCAGGGACTGCCACCACCACAGCCCCACACTCACACTCACCTCAGGAGGACGAGCAGCTTTTATCCCAGGGCAGAGCTCTGAACAAAGGCTTAGGACAAGTGAAGAACCAGTTCTCTGGAGGAGACGTGAGCACTCCAGATAAAAGCCTTCACTCTGATCTGGAACAGCCTCAGTGTGACAAAAAACTCGACCCACTCACTTGCTCCCAGAGAAAATCTGCCCATCAACTCACGCCACACTGCCCCACACAAAACTGACCATCAGAATCCCGTTCAGGAAAGGCTGAGCTGGAAATGCTCCAACTTACAAAAGAGAAAAAGGAGAGCCGTCATCTGCATCCATTTGGTCTTAAATATGGACAGAACCAGCAACGTGAAAAGACCAAATAACACAGAAAAGCTGACCCCAGAGGAAAGAGGAGAACCTGGGGAGCAGTAGAGAACAGCTAGAACTCGGCTCAGAGAGATCAGAAAGATACCACAGCCACTGCATGAGAACAGACACCAGGAAAGATTACCCCACACGCGTATCTCAACTCTCCCACCCCCAAACCCCCAGTAAAACAGCGATCAAGTAATAAACAGACATAAATACAGAACAAAAAAGAGAAAAGAAGAAACAACAGCCAAGAGATGTCAGCAGTGACTCGGAAGCTGGAAAGCGGCAGCAAGACCCATAGTAACTGAGGAGCAGCCAGAAGCGGCCAGAGGTCTGAGGCACCAGGGACAGCCCAGGACAGGACACAGGTGGGGCTGAAAGCAGGAGGCGTGGCCTAAGGTCCCCTGGTCCCAGCCCCTTGCCCAACCACGCAGACAAGAGGTTTACTCTCTAGATGGTGAATACCACAGCCACTAGCCACACTTGTTTAAATTTAAATCAAATAAAATTTAAAATTCAGTTCATCAGTCATACTAGCCATATTTCAAGTGCTCAACAGTTACACGTTGCTAGTGATGACCTTACCAGACAGTGCAGACCTAGAACATTCCATCATCACACAAAGCTGTATTGGATAGAGGTGGTCTGGAAAGAGGAGGCCTGCGAGTCCTGGAGCTGGAAGCCAGGCACGGCTGACAACAGCCACACAGTGCCCGACTCAACAGGGAGTCGGCATTCTGGGCAAGAAGGCCCACAGTGGGACCTTCCCCCACAGGCCACAGTACCCAGCACCCAGGATGTGCTCCCCAGTCAGGAAAACTCAGCCTGTGAGATGACTTTGAGATATACTAAACCAAGGACGAGAGCTCTTAGAAAATAAAAACTGTCAAATAATTTCAAGAACATCTTCTGTGTGCAAAACAAAGATCAAAAAGCAGAACTATGAGGGGCTGGCCCAGCAGTGTAGCAGTTAAGTTCATACGCTCTGCTTCAGCTGCCCGGGGTTCACAGGTTCAGACCCTGGGCACAGACTGACACACTGCTTATCAAGCCAGGCTGTGGCCGCATCCCATATAAAGTGGAGGAAGATGGACACGGATGTTAGCCAAGGGCCAATCTTCCTCGGCAAAAAGAGAGGATTGGCATCTGATGTTAGCTCAGGGCTGATCTCCCTCACACCACACACACAAAAACATACTTAAGAAAAAAAAAAAGCAGGGCCGGCCCCGTGGCTTAGCGGTTAAGTGCTCACGCTCTGCTGCTGGTGGCCCGGGTTCGGATCCCGGGCACACACCGACGCACCGCTTCTCTGGCCATGCTGAGGACGCGTCCCACGTACAGCAACTAGAAGGATGTGCAGCTATGACATACAACTATCTACTGGGGCTGTGGGGAAAAAATAAACAAATAAAATTATTAAAAAAAAAAAAAGTAGAACTATGAGGGAAAAGCTAAGGAACCCAGAGGATCACTCCTGGAAATTCAACATCGAATTCACAGGGGCACCAGAGAAAGAAAGCAGAAGCAGAGAAATAATCAAAAACACACCAGAAGCAAAGTCCCCTGTGCCAAAGGATGTAAGTCTTCAGCCTAAAGTTGTCCAGCTAAAGCCCAGCATAAGAAAAGAAGGCCTAGAGCAAGTCACACCCTCATGAAGCATCAGGTCCTAGAAACTTTCAGAGGCAAACAGCTCCTCAAAAAGAAACTCAGACATCAAAATTGGTATTATTTTGTGTGTGTGTGTGTGTGTGTGTGTGTGTGAGAGGAAGATCAGCCCTAAGCTAATATCCGATGCTGATCCTCCTCTTTTTGCTGAGGAAGACTCGTCCTGGGCTAACATCCGTGCCCATCTTCCTCCACTTTATATAGGACGCTACCACAGCATGGCCTGACAAGCGGCGCATCAGTGTGCACCCAGGATCTGAACCCGGGCCGCCAGCAGCGGAGCGTGCACACTTAACCACTACGCCATGGGGCCGGCCCCAGACTTGGCATTATTGAATGAGGGAAGACAAGGGAAACAGGGCTTCTGTCTCCACCCCGCCAAACTACCAACCAAGTATGAAAGTGTATTTAATCTTCGTGAGACAAATGACAGTTCAGAAAGCTTACCTTCTACAAAACCTGCTGGTTACTTGAAGAAAAAAAAAAAACAGCATGCACAGCACCAGCCCACTTTCTAAAAGGCACATGTGCTCACACTAACGCTAACCCTTAGTGCCTCACGGTAACACGTTTAAAGGCTCAACAGCCCTGGGAGGGTGCGGAGTGCTGATAACCCCCTTTTTACAGGTGAGGAAACTCAGGCACAGAGCAGCTAAGTGGTGCAGCTGGGATGTAGATCCCGGCACTCTGGCCCCAGGGCTCACACACCTGACCCTCGCCCCTCTCTGCCTTTCAACTTAAGTTACTATTGCTACCTTCCTCCTTCCCAAGCTCAATGCCAGAAGCATGTGTTATTTTTGTAGATAAAAAAAGTTAATAGTACGAAATAGGTTACAAATAAAGAAAACAATGAGAAACAAAAAGTTGTTCCCCTTACTTTAAATTAAAGTCAAGGAAACCCAAGTCTCAGTGTTTCCATCTGTAAAATGGAGATGACCACTGACCACAGAGGCGTCCTCCTTAGATGCTGTGAGGATTAAATGGTTATCTACGCACGGTCCTGTGACCAAATGTGCGCAGAGGCAAACAGATTAAAATACACACAATAAGCAAAAGATGTGTTCTTTAAACAGCAGCGAGGAAGAAAGTAGCTCAAATATGTCTGCCCACAGCCTAGAGCAACACTTGGAATTCACACCACTATCATAGGTCCACTAAAACCAACCGGCCAGGCCCTACTAAGAAGTAAGACCTAGGACTTTATCCTGACACAAAACACACAGGTGCTAGCACCACACAAGGCCCTTGTAACCGTGTGTAATGAAATGATCAACACCAACACCACCAGCCTCTATTCTTACCAAGGTGAGGGTCCAAGAGGTGGGGCTGCTCCTGGTATTTGTCCATTATTACTAAAAAGAAAAATATGAGAATTAACATCACTAAAGCAAACACGCACATGAGCCCCGGAAACCCTCACATTTTCCCTTGCTGACTCCCCTGGGGCAGCTCCTCCTCTTCCCCAGCCCACAGTCCACCTGGGGTGAGCTCCCCACGACCCACCGGCCTCCTCAGAGCCACTGCGTCCTAGCTTCACGCTCTTCGCTTGCTCGGCACACCTTCCTCTTGGGTCCTCTCCTCCCACCTCCTATGAACCCTTCCTCACACCTTCCTTCCTTCCCTCTCCTGTTAACAGCCAAACGAAGTCCTCCCCTCCATTAAACACACACGCACCCCTTCCTCTCTTTTAACTCTACCTCTGCCAAACACACTCAAGCAATGTGCCCTCCTGCACCCGCTCCTAAACCCTAGGCAGCCTGTCTCCTCTCCTACCAGCTGCTGGAACTGCTCCCGTCAGACCCAATGACCACTATGCCTATGGCAGTTCTCATCTCCACACACCTCCACGCCTGACCACTTCTCAGGAGCGGTCCCTCAGAACAGTTCCGGGCCCAAGACACTGTGAGTGCTCACCCCAGCAGACAGCCAAAAAAACACTCAGAGCAAACAAGCAACTAGCCCAAGCGGCAGAGAGAGGATTCACACCCAGGGACGAGTCGCCAAAGCATACGCTCTTTTCACTCAGCAGGCCAGGCTGCCCCTCTGCTACAGACAGAGAGCTGTCATTACAAACCGAGGAAACAGAATTATGAAGAAATTGCGTTAGCTAAAAGGATCTACAAAGATGGTTTTACTGAAACCCTATCCTACCTAACTATAGGATCCTACGGAACGGTTTGGAAATTATCCGCTAAGATCTGTCTAAACTTGGAGAATTTAGACCAACCAAGTAACCTCTAGTGAGCATTATCCACTACCCTGCACTACCTGGAGCAGCACTGCCGCCCTGGCTGCACACGCGGTCTCGGCAGAGCCATGGGCACGTCTGTGGCGACACCCCCAGGTGGTGTCCCCAGAACAGCAGCTCAGTCTGGCTTCTCCGGCTCCTCCTCCCACGTCCACGCAACTGTCTCAAAGGAACTGTTGCCGTGGTCCCAGAACGGGGTGGGGGTAGCTGGAAGTTAAGGCAGCCTGGAACGTCCGTCCACACCCGGTTCTCATCCTGAACCTCCACACCGCCCACGCTGCCCCCCAATGACCGAGGTGGCCAAGGGAGCCTCCGCTGCCCGCAGCCTCCAGGTGAGGCCGCCCTTGCACCAAGTACGGCTCTCTCAGGGGTGCGCCCGG